AATTTTTAGTTCGTAGTTGAGCATTTCACATTTTATGGTACAAGGAACTATTTCAGTTACCCTTGAAAAATATGGGTCCCTGGCAACACAGTGGGGCAAGTGAGTTAAACATTGGCTAACTGCAAAATCAGTGATTCAATCCCATCAGGCTTGCCTTGGGAGAACAGTGAGATGGGCTGTTTTCATGGAGAGTTACAGTTTGGGACACCCTAAGGAATAGTACTACTCTATCCTGTAACGTCTCCATGAGTCAGAACCCCTTTGACGGCAGTGGGTTGGGTATGGTTTGGGTTTTGAGTGACTATATTAGAAAGTGTATTTTAAACAAGACAGAAATGAAATTTTCAGAACTGTGGAGCTTAATGATAAATGCGCATAAAATCAAAGCAAACCCGCTGCAGTTGAGTCAGCACGTGAGGCCCCCGTGTGCTGCCGCTTTGATCTGAGTGGACTGCCAGTCCTGCCTTCTGCGGTGCCTCTCAGTGGGTTTGAACAACAAACTCTCAGCTGTGAGTTGAACTCTTAGACATTTGCATCACCCAGCGACTTCCTTGAAGCACGTTTTTATATATTATCTTTTGAAGTTGAACTTATTTCAGGGACATAGCAAGAATATTGAACAAAGCTGAAATAATGTCTAGAACAAACTTGATTATCGTTATTAAGGTGTAAAACAAACTCATTTTCCTTTTTTTATTGGTTTAATAAACCAGTTTGAATTGAAGTTTGTATCATCATTACAACTTGGTGAGGAAATAAAACATCACTCTCCAATTGAAAACTGGGGAAAAAAATCCGAGCATAAACAGTGGATTTGGGGAGGAACCGACAGAAGTTGCATAGGATTTTCTTTTTAGCGAATGGCTCTAGCTCTTGTCACAATTAGGGAACTAGTAAAAGCCCTAAAGAAAGAAACTCTCTGAGATGGATGAGATTTGTCACCAATTAAATAGGATGCGAGGCCAAGTTCGAAAGCCTACTCTTGGGTTTCAGTTGGTGACAATACTGACATCTGGTGGTTGCACAATTTTTATCACTTTGCCTCCAGCTCAGTCTCCTAGATAGAAGCCAATTATTGTAGTGCGATGTCATCGAGTCTGTTCCAACGTTCATAGTGACACAATGCAACAAACTTAAACTGCCCCCGCAGGGTTTCCCTGGCTGTAATCTTTACGGATTACAGAGATAAGCTTATGGATAAACAGAGACTTTCTCTGCTTATAGAAATCAAGGCTTTCTCTGCCAGTGGGTTTGAACCACCAACTGCAATATTCGTGGATGGTCATGTAACCATTGCACCACCCGGGCTCCTGAGAAACAAATTAAGTGAAAATTCAAATATCTTCTGCTCCTTTAAAGTCTATGCATTCAACTCTTATAATCCTAACTGTAACTAATGAGATATTTACATAAACCAATGTCATTTTATATCTACTTGGCCTCTGCTTTTCCCCAAATGATAACAGATCTTGCTGGAATAGAATTAGGTGCTTACATATCCTATTTCCCAAGATTTGTGCTAATACTTCATTAGAATTAATTTCATTTAATAACTCTATATTCCAGGCCTTGTAAATATTTTGCATACTTTGCATAGTGACTCCTTGCTGAGTTATAATCACCACATGAAATAAGCAGTGCTTATATCATTATCCTAAATTAAAATAAGGGAAAGGCTCTGAAACTTGTCCCAAAATTCTTAAAAGTAGCAGAATAGAGATAATCTGATCCCAGAGGCTTTCCTCTTAAATGCCATCTCACATTTCCCCAATGGGATTAATATTTTCCTGCCTTTCAAAGGGAATATACAGTATATTAGTCCAAAGCCCTGGTAGCATGGTGGTTCAGCACTCAGGTGTTAACCCAAAGGTTGGTGGTTTGCTTCTATAAAGATGACAGTCTAAAGTCCTATGAATCAGTCTCACTCTGTTCTGCAGGGTCACTATGAGACAATGAACTCAGTGACACACACCAGCAATGCAACAACAACTTCAGTCCTATTGTTTCCCTGTGTGCCCCACAAGAGCCACATTTGCCTATACGCTATGGGCTTAAGCACAAACTACCTTCATATTCTCCATATGTTGCTGCTGTTAGGTGAGGTGGAGTCCATTCTGACTCGTGGCCGCCCTACGGACTACAGGATGAAACACCATCCAGCCTGCACCCTCCTCACAACTTTTCTTAGTTTGAGCCAGGGTTGTCACCATTTTGACAATCTATCTTGCTGAGGGTCTTCCTCTTTTTCACTGCCCCTCAACTTTACCAAACGTGATGTCCTTTTCCGGGGACTAGTCTTTCCCGATAACATGTCCAAAGTATATCAAACGAAGTTCACCATCTTTGCTTCTAAGGAGCATTCTGGCTGCACGTCTTCCGGAACAGACTCATTTGTTCTTTTGGCAGTCTCTGGTACTTTCAGTCGTCTTCACCAGCACCACCGTTCAAGTGCATCAATTCTACTTCTCCCCTATTCAATGTCCGACTTTCACAATCACATGAAGTCACTGAAAATGCCCTGGCTGGGATGAGACGCACCTTCGTTCTCAAAGTAATAGCCTGGCTTTTCAACACTTTAACGAGTTGCATCGTTTTATCTCTTGACTTCTGCTTCCAGGAGCATTAATTGTGGATGAAATTTTTGACAACTTCAGTCTGTTCTCTGTTTATCATGATGTTAACTATTGACCTAGTTGTGGAAACCTTTGTGGTCTTTACATTGAACTAAAGTCCATGTGAAAGTCTGCTGTCCTTGTCTTCATCAGCAAGTGCTTCAAGTCCTTCTCCCTTTCAGCAAGCGAGTCCTCATTTCAGCTGCAAGACTCACCGTCCGCGTATTGCGGGATGGCGAGTCTTCATCTTACGTACTTTGGACATGTTGTCAGGAAGATCAGTCCCTGGCAAAGGACAACATACTTGATAAAATAACGGGACAGAGAAAAAGAGGAAGATCCTGGACAAATGGGTTGACGCAGTGGTTGCAGCCATGGATTCAAATATCAGAACAATCACGAGGCTGGGGAGTGGCTGCACAGTGTTGTATTCTGTGCTGCGCCTACGTCATTACACGGCAGAAACAACTCAGTGGCACGGCATCTTCGTATCTTGTTGGATTATGTTTTCAGCTCACGTTTTACTTTAAGTAAAACTCTGTTTTAAGCTAATCAACCTAACTTGTCGAACTATTTTTAAAATTATCAATCATTGGAAGTACTACAATTATACAATATCCACTAGTAATTTTTATGTATTCATCCATTTGTTCTTTTAGAGGATTTCACTGAAAGTACTGCTCCTAGGGTTCCAATTCATGCACTCATGGAGTTACTCCAAGTAAAATATGCTTAAAATATCCCATGCTCCGTGGACGGCTCGTAGCAAGTTCTCTTAGTGATATCTGTGTCTTAGTCTTGTCAGATGTCTGAAGAGCCCCCAATAAAAGTATTTAAAAATATTGAGAGAGACCAAAAGACTAGCTTCCAAAGGGATCTACTGACTGGATGTTGTTGGTAGAAGGGTCAGCTCAGACGGTTATGCAGCTGTTTTCTGGGATCCCAAAAGGATGCTCTTGGTATTTCTTCTTGAGGAACACAGGATGGTCAGGTGGGCTAGGAGGACGTCTTAAGAAAATGGAAAACTACGTGGATAAAGGAAGGGCCGGGAAAGCTGTGTCCAGGACTTTCTGTTCACCACCTGTTCCTTCTTAGAAGGTGGCAAGGCCTGTCCTACAAGAATTCTTTGGGAACCTTACTTACTCCATGCACCCTACAGTCCTGAACTTGTTCTTTCTGACTTTTTATCTGTTCCAAAAATGCAAAAAAAAAACAACCCAAAAAACATTAAAATGGAACATGATTCAAATCCCTTGATGATCACAAACCTGTTGCTGTGATATGCTATAAATTGAAGAGCACACCACTCCTGACGGGGACAGGTGAGACAGAGAGGTGGTACCACCTTCAGCCACCTGTTACCTAAATAATGGACGTGGGTGGGTGATAGATCACGAAACAAGCTTCATATTTTTATATTTCTGTTTAGTAAAGATTTCTATGGTTTGTAGCAATACTTTTTGACTTATATTACAAATTCCAGGTACCTGAAATCTATGTTCAGTCAACTCTAAATATCCATTATTGTCTTCAAACCTAAGAAGACACAATCTAGAGTCAGTCATCATACCGAACAGATATGGGTTTTATCTTTCTCTGCTGTCATTTATTGATGAGTCTAAGTTGCATGAGAAGTAAAGATGTAGAATGATACACACTGGGCCTTATCTATCCCTTCTTTAGTTTTTTGTTCATATAATAGTTGTCATAATTAAGAAATGGTTAAAAAGAATCATACGCTCCCATGAACTTTATTTAGGATCAAATCATTTTTGTTACCTGTCTAAAGTCATGTGGCTTGGGATTGAGGTAAACACTGCTTGGATATTTTCCTTTCTTCACAAACATTGTCTTCTCTTTAAGTGCATCCAGCCAGGCAAATGTAGTTATAAACAGAGGAGCTGTGGACTTCACAGCAGGCTCATTCCTGATGCTGGGCAGGTGAACTGTTGCTTCTGGGAAAGTATTATTTGGTTTTCTTCTTTCTTTCTTAATGTCTCTGGGGTTTTTTTCTGGAAATCTCAAAGACGTATACTGTTTATAACTAAAATCAGGAGGCTTTATTTCCCAAATGTTGGGTTTCAGGTCTGATTGAGAGACTGCATTCCTTTTTTTTTTCCATTTGGTGTTGAGACCTTGTTGAAAGGGAGATTGAAGGCTCTAAGCAAAGACATAGCTGCATCTCCTGCCCTTCTGAGACTCAAGTTCCATTATGTGGGGGATAGTTCACATGAGAATCTGCAATAGACATGAAAATTGGAGAAGTTTGTCATTTTAGCAATATTATATCGAACATTTTCTCTCTGGCAGAGGGTAGCCTCTGAAAGATTTAAGATGGAGGGGGATAAAAGCTCAGAAATGATAGGGGGTGGCGGGGGCAGAAAGGAAAATCAAGCATTGCTACTGCAAGTATTTATTGAATACCTTTGCCATGAGTGAGGGGGCTGGAGGTGAAAAAAACAAAGTCCTCTTTCTTGAATAATTGATGGGCTACTTGGGAGATAAATCAAAATAAAACAAAATCTATGGATGGTGTGACAATAAGAAGCAAAACAATGAGCTGCTAGTTCTGTCATGGAAATGAAAGATGAGAAGAAAGGTTATTTGGGCCGAGTTTGGAAGATAAGCAGAAACGTTCTGGGTAGTGAAGGAATGGAATGACACACCAAGGCATAGGAAGTGTGTAAAATTTGTGCCAGTTAATTTCTGGGATATCCATGGGGTCCTAAACCACCAGGCTTACCCTGTAGCTACAGCTATTAAAACGTGCATATAAGAATCCTGTGTGGGAATCCAGAGCGGATGATCCCTTCAGGACCAGTGGTGTGAGTGG